CATTAAGAGCCATCGCTCGGCCCAGGTTTTGCTTTGATACACAAGCAGTGTTTTGCATTAAGAGCCATCGCTTGGCCCAGGTTTTGATTTGATACACAAGCCGTGTTTTGCATTAAGAGCCATCGCTCGGCCCAGGTTTTGCTTTGATACAGAAGCAGTGCTTTGTGTTAAGAGCCATCACTCGGCCCGGGTTTTGCTTTGATACACAACCAGTGTTTTGCATTAAGAGCAAAACTCAACAAAGAAGCTCCTGTTTTTTAACAGATTTCCTATGAGGCAGGCGAGACGGTAGTCCTTTGTGATATTATATTATATTAGCTACAGATGCGGGTGAAATGTCAGGAGAGAATGCAGCTGCTATACAACCCAGAAAACACACAGCAAGCTGGTGATTCTGGCCATGAAAGCCTTCGACAATGCTTCCTACATCAGTTGCACCTTCCAAGGACCGAAGCCTCTCCTTTGCCTTCCGTCTTTCCTTTCTTTCCTTCCTTCCTTCTTTTTTAGGCTGCAAATCAAAGGCTCTCTTATGCAAGAAGGCCTCAAGGTGCCTCCTTTGATAACTCTCCTCCGTTCAGAGGGTAGAAAAGGAGCTCTTTTTTTGCAGAGTTTATTTTCTTTCTTAAAGGAGAGGTTTTTTGGCCGGCAGGTTCGAGGCAGAGATCAAAGGAACTCACCGGCCGCGGATAAGCCCTGCTATTATGCATCAAGGTGTTTATATGTCTCAAAGTCAGAAAGGAGAGCCCGCTGAGCCTCGGAAAGGCAACAAAACAAGATACACAAAAAAGGCTCTTTGCCGGAGCGACTTCCGAAGAGCGGGCGACGGGCTACCTTGCCAGGTTTCCCCAGCTAAAGAGACGACCTTTCCCCGTCACCTTCGGTATTGACTTTGCTCCAGGGAAGGTGGACTTTGTTTTTTCGGCGCCTGACTTGCTTTGGCGTTTCTCATTAAAAGAGAAGGGGGGGAAAGCTCACCAAAAGCTCAGTGAGAAGGACACAGAAAACTCGGAAGCTTCCACCCAACACTGAGGGATGGAAAAGGGAGCATTGTATGCAATTTAGGTGCAAATCAGTCTGATTGGAGAAGGTCGGGATCTGAGCCGAAGGTCCATAGAAGTCGTTCACAGAATCTCTCATCTGATATCACCCATGGATTGAGGTGCTGGGTTTGGGCCTGCCACTTTTGGACTCTCGCTTGCTGAGGTGTTCCAGCGAGTGTCTCTGTAGATCTTAGAAAACTATGTCTTGATTTAAGTCGTTGACGTGCTGGCTGATACCCAAACAAGGGATGAGCTGGAGATGTCACTGCCTTGGTCCTTTCACTATTGGCTGCTACTTCCCAGCGGATGTCAGGTGGTGCAATACCAGCTAAGCCATGTAATTTCTCCAGTGGTGTAGGGCGCAGACACCCCGTGATAATGCGGCATGTCTCATTAAGAGCCACATCCACTGTTTTAGTGTGGTGAGATGTGTTCCACACAGGGGATGCATACTCAGCAGCAGAGTAGTATAGCGCAAGGGCAGATGTCTTCACTGTGTCTGGTTGTGATCCCCAGGTTGCGAAAGTCAGCTTTCATATGATATTGTTTCTAGCACCCACTTTTTGCTTGATGTTCAGGCAGTGCTTCTTGTAGGTCAGAGCACGGTCCAGAGTGACTCCCAGGTATTTGGGTGCGCTGCAATGCTCCAGTGGGATTCCTTCCCAGGTGATCTTCAGAGCTCGGGATGCTTGTCTGTTCTTAAGGTGAAAAGGCACATGTCTGTGTTTTAGATGGATTAGGGATCAGTTGGTTTTCCCTGTAATAGGCAGTAAGAGCACCTAGAGCTTCGGAAAGCTTCTTTTCAACCATCTCAAACCTCCCTGCTTGAGTGGTAATGGCACGATCATCAGCATAGATGAAGCTCTCTGTCCCTTCTGGCAGTGGCTGGTCATTTGTGTAGATGTTGAACATGGATGGAGCAAGCACGCTCCCCTGAGGCAGGCCGTTCTCCTGTTTCCGCCATCTGCTTCTCTGGCCCTGGAACTCAACAAAGAAGCTCCTGTTTTGTAGCAGGTTTCCTATGAGGCGGGTGAGGTGGTCGTCCTTTGTGATATTATACATTTTTCTCAGGAGGAGGTGGTGGTTCACAGTCTCATAGGCTGCTGACAGGTCTATGAAGACAGCTCCTGTGATCTGCTGCCTTTCAAAGCCATCTTCTATGTACTGAGTCAGGTTCAGCACTTGCGATGTGCAGCTTTTGCCTTTTCTGAAGCCTTTTCTGAAGCCACCCAGTGCAATCCAGCCATTATTATTATTATTATTATTAATTATTATTATTATTATATTACTGACACAAAAAATACAGTTTGTCACATCAAATGATATCTATATGCTGGACAGCAGTGGCTCCCAAAGTGACCCATTTAAAGTGGAATCGGGTGTCAAACAGGGATGTGTTATTGCCCCAACTCTATTCTCCATCTTCATTGCTATGATACTTCATCTTGTTGATGGGAAGCTTCCCACCGGAGTGGAAATCATGTCGGACAGATGGCAAGCTATTCAACCTCAGCAGACTGAAAGCCAAAACCAAGGTTACAACAACATCTGTTATAGTACTCCAGTATGCTGATGACAACGTCGTCTGTGCGCATTCAGAAGAAGATCTACAAGCCACTCTAAACACCTTCGCAGAAGCATATGAGAAGCTCGGCCTGTCATTGAACATTGAAAAAACCAAGGTGCTGTTCCAGCAGACACCAACCAACCCCTCTCCAATGCCAGTGATACAGCTTAATGGTGTAACATTAGAAAATGTTGACAATTTCCACTCCCTTGGTAGCCACCTCTCCACCAAAGTCAACATCGACACCGAAATACAACACCGCCTGAGCTCTGCGAGTGCAGCATTTTTCCGAATGAAGCAGAGAGTGTTTGAGGACTGGGACATCTGTAGGGATACCAAGGTGCTTGTTTTCCTGTCGTAGTCCCTGTGAATCGCACATATGATATCTCTGCGCTTGCGCAATAGCTTTCGGAACCTTCTAGAAATGAAGAAAAGCACTTGACTCCTAGCTGGCCCCACCCACCTCGCCCCGAGTATAAGTAGCCCGTGGGAGGGGCCAGCCGTCAGTTCTCTTTTCCGCTTCACGGAATAGCTTGGGAACCCTTGTTCTTATCTGACTTCTTGACTCCTATCGAACTGATTATTCTCCCAACGGACTTGGCTGACTTGATTGACGAAGGTATTGGATAGCGTTTTGGACTGTGTTTTCCCGCTGGTTTGGACTCGGATTGCTTGACCATTCGAACCTCTCCAGGCTCTGACCCGGCCCGGTTTTTTTTGACGATCCGGCATGTCTACTACTTCCTTCAAGAGGTGTTCCAACCCCTCTTGTCCCAATACCTTCCCTGACACGGACGGCCACTCGCTATGCTTGGCCTGTCTGGGCGAGGGTCATCTGGCCCAATCTTGTGCCGTTTGTCTGGCTTTCACCGCCCAGACGAGGAAGAACCGGGAGGTGCGCCTTAAGGCYGCTTTGTACGAGAAAGCCCTTCTCCCCCCGCCCTCCCCTGGACATACTGGGCCCTCYCCCGGCCCCAACTTACCTTTTTCCCTTCGAGATGATCCTCGGGCCAAGAAGAAGGCCAAGAAGCCTAAGGAGAAGGGCATCCAAGATGGCTGCCGCCCTCTCCTGCCGAAGAAAACGGCTGCTAAAAGAGCRGGAACCGYGGACAAGGCCCCCGCCCCCCCCGCCTCTTGCTGGGAGAGCTCAGAGCGGCCTCCTGCGACCCCTGCCGGCCGCCGAAGCCAATGCAGGCTCCCCTGTTGCTGCGCCCTCCGCCATGCAGGGAATGGAACATCCCGCATCGCGTTCACCGATGCCCCTGCTTCTGCCTCCCGAGACTGGCCTTCCTCCAGCTGTGGGAGGGACACCGCTGATGCCTACGTCCCTCTCTCCTGGGCCGGATGTGGCTCCGATCCCGGCTGGGATCCAGGGCTCGACTAACACAGCCACGAGCCCTGATCAACTAGAGGCTCCGCCTCCACAGGAAGTCGGCAGGAACACTCCACCCACCTATGCGGCTGCCGGAGCCCCGCCCGCCCAGGGCCCGAGCGTCCCAGCGCTTACTGGAGCGAGCCCCGCGATGGGGACAATACCGGCACGGAGCATCGCGATGCCGGCAGAGAGCCGCGGGACCGCGATGTTACTTCCGCCTACAGATTCCTCCGCGATGCCGCCCCCGCCCACGGACCCTCCCTYGCCCGAGGCGAGGTCGGGCAGATCGAGCAGATCTACGCGCCATCCAAGCAGGCGCAGGCGGCGTTCCCGGTCTCCGTCCCGGAGGAGTGGGGGATCTCGACGCCGCCGACGTCGCTCCCACGCCAGGAGCAGAGCACGCTCTTCGTCCTCCTCCTCCTCTTCCTCCTCCTCCTCCTCCTCCTCCCCTCCGCGTAGGAGGCATCGGCGCAGTTCAAGAATGTCGCGTTCTTCATCCTGTCGCCGTGGGGCCTACACACCGGCCCGTGCGCCACCACCTGGGTGCTGGCAGCTGGGCCCAACGGGGCAGCTAGTTTATGTGCCCTTGCCCCCACACCTCGGGATGCCCCCTCCTCCCTCAGTGGCACCCCAGCACCTGCCTGCGGCGCTGAT